GGGGGGGGGGGGGGGCACAAATGGCGTTTTATTACAGATGACAATCTAATTTACAAGTCTTTATACATTTCAAGGAAAACATTCAGGCATCATAAATATAAAAATTTCAATATGCAAAATTCAAATTTACAGCAAGAAAAAGCAAACACAGAAACTTATTTTTGAACTATGTGGTTGTTACTATACTACCTTTAATTCTTTATCCAGAGTCCAAAAAGTGTGGGCAAACCCTAAAATGTAGCAGAAGCATTTCCGCACACTGGTATCTATAATTTAGTTTGTGCAGAAATGTTTCCACTAGATTCATAGAGTACTCTTTGGAAGAAAGAGGTGAGAATTGGTCATTTGGTCGCCCTTCAGACATTCTGCAACTCTTCAATGGATTTCCACTCTTGGTTGATTGTTAAAAGCTTTCCAGGTACACTGGGATCCACATGGGAAATCTTTAGGCATTCACCTTACAGTCCTGATTTGGCTCCTTCTGACTTTTTGTTTCCTAATCTCAAAAAATCTTTAAAGGGCACCCGTTTTTCTTCAGTGCATAATATAAAAAAGACTGCATTGACGTGATTAAGTGGTCAGGACCTTCAGTTATTTAGAATGGACTAAATAGCTGGTATCATAACTTTAAAAAGTGTCTTGAGGGCTTGCCAGTTAGCTTGGTTGGTTAGAGTGTGGTGCTGCTAACATGAAGGTCCAAGGTCCAATCCTTCTACTGGCCAGCCGCACGGACAGAGAAAAAAAAAAAGGTCTCAAACTTGATTGAACTTGATGAAGCTTATGCTGAGAAATAAAGTTTATGTTTTTTATTTTTATCTTTTAATTCCATTTTCCATGAACCTTTTGAAGTCTCCTCAGATTTATGTATTTGTAATACAAGGAAGTTGTGATCTAAAAATCTTCTCTGTTCCTCTTTTCAGAATGTGTCCAAATTTCTTCTTGGCTAAAGAACATGTAATCTAATTTGTGAAAGCACAAAGGAGTGTTTTCTGGGTTAAATTATCTACTTGATCCATCCACTCAATAGTGCTGTTTAATACTTTGATATCATTTTGACTTAACTTGATGTCCCTAGCAATAACATATTAGGTATTTCTCCTACTTTCTGTAATTTTCATGTTTTGTACTTGAATTCAAATAATTATAGTATTAGTACCAAAATCCATGTTTTCTTTCTTTTTCATTTGTTAGGTGTGTCTTAATTCTTCCTTTTTCACTGACCTTTCTGAGTCATTTTTGAAGTATCTCTTTAAAATCTAACCCAAGTGTCTTTGTTTCATTCAAATTTATTGGAATGCCAGGCAGGGTGGCTAGCTCAGTTGGTAGAGTATATGCTGAAAACCCCAAGGTCAAAGGTTTATATCCTAGTATCTGCCAGCCACCTAAATAATAATAATAATAATAGTAATAATAATAATAAGGAATGGTAGAAAATATTTCATGCTCTGTGTTTGATGTGTTTGCTTTTTGATGAGATGGAAGACTTATAGTTTGCATCTAAGAACTTGATCAAGACATTTACCACCCTGGGTCTTCAGTTTTCTCAAATATAAGAGGAAAGTGCTGAGTAAAAGACCATTTCTTGGGCCAGCCCAGTGGCGCACTGCTACAGTGCACCACTTGGGAGCACAGTGGCGCTCCTGCCGAGGGTTCGGATCCCACATACAGACCGGTTCCCGCTCACTGGCTGAGCGAGGTGTGGGCGCAGCACCGAGGGTTGCGATCCCGTTGCCGGTCCTGGTCCGGTACGGGCGCGACACTGAGGGTTGCGATCCGTTGCCGGACACGAAAAAAGACAAAAAGGGAAAAAAAAAAAAAAAAGACCATTCCTTAGGTTCCTTTCTGCTCTAACGTTCTGTAGTTAATTCAGCATTATAAGTAGAGGTCAGGTGGAAGTTCAAACTAAATATTTTCTCAGTTATTTTAACAAAATAAAATTTTTTTTTTTTTTAAAAGATGACCGGTAAGGGGATCTCAACCCTTGGCTTGGTGTTGTCAGCACCACGCTCAGCCAGTGAGCAAACCGGCCATCCCTATATAGGATCCGAACCCGTGGCCTTGGTGTTATCAGCACCGCGCTGTACCGAGTGAGCCACAGGCCGGCCTCTCTGTTTTAGCTCTATTGTTACATTTAAAAGAGTAAAATATTTTTTTTTCCTTTTTGTCTTTTTTTTACTGACCGGTAATGGGATCGCAACCCTCGGTGTCGCGCCCATACCGGCGACCGGCAACGGGATCGCAACCCTCGGTGTTGCACCCGCACCGCGCTCAGCCAGTGAGCGGGAACCAGTCTCCACATGGGATCCGAACCCTCGGCAGGAGCGCCGAAGCACTCCCAAGCAGCGCACTCTCCAGTGCGCCACCGGGCCGGCCCAAGAGTAAAATATTTTAAAGCATTTTTTACAGTTCAGAAACATGCTTTTCAAAAGTTTTGGTGAGTCTTCACAGCAAAATTACATTTTACAGTATTAACCAATAAACATATAGAAGCATATGCATTATATATATATAAAAGTTATATTATATATATTAAAGGGTTTCTCAAAATAATCCTTAATCTATGTTTGCTCAGATACTTTTTATTCTTTTCCATTTTGTTTTTAAATGCTGATTATACCCCATTCTACTGAAATCACATTTCCCTAATGGGTCAAAGCAAGATATGAGTAGTCACACTGATGATCTGGGAACAAACACTGTAGAAGAACTTGAAGATGAAAAGAAAATACCTGCCACACCAAAGAGTTGAGGGTTGCTAATAATCTACACTGAAATCTGGAATACTATTTTTCCAAGTCAAGAGAAGACCAAATGGCTTTTTACAGCTAACTACTATGTGTTGAGAGGTTTTATATTACAAACTCTGCTTTCTGGTCACATACTACATAGTTTATAGAGTGATCTCCCCGCAACCTGCCCCGTTTCTTGAACATCTTGGACCTTGATCAATTGTGCTATTAATTATTAACCACCTTTTAAAGTTTGAATATATTTATCAAGATATCCACTGGACAGATTTCAAAAGGTGTTTCCTTGTGATAGTTTTTAAAAATAAATCTAATGCAATGAAATGATACATTAATCTAATGTTAATGAAACTGATAGAGCTCTCCATGACCAGGAGGTATGTTACTTTATATAAGAAACATGAAAAAATGCTTACCGCTTGTTGCAGTGGATATCATAAATAGGTGTTTTAAACTGAATTGATTTGACCATCTCCCCTGTACGAAGTGAATATAGATCCACACAACAATAAGGCGGGCTTGTGCTGAAAGGAGAAAAAAGCCATTATTTTTAAAAAGGGTAACGGCCAGTAAACTCGATATTTTCTTATTAACACAATAGTAAAACCCCTTATTAGTATAATATTAGTACGTTGATTTGACCCTTACCCCCCAAAATAATCACAATACATTCCTTATCTTAAAAACAATCTCATTCACCAAATCAATACTATACAGAACAAAAATGATATAATTATTTCAACAGATTTAGAAAAGCATCTGATAAATTAAAAACCCAATCATGATAAAAAATATTTCCTTTATCTGATAAACGGTATCAACCTTAAAACTAACAAACAAAAACTAGCAAACATCATATCCAATCATAAGTTATTGAAAGATACGACCCTAATATCAGGATAGATAAAAACGTTCATTATCATCACTCTCTCCAACATACTATGGAAGATTCTGTGCATAAGTCAGGAAAAATAATCACTACAGGGTACCTCAAAAAGTTCATGAGATTTACATTTGTATATTATCTTTTAATTCTATTTTTCCATGAACTTGTTGAAGTACCCTCCTATCAGGAAGAAATAAAGCTGTCATTATTTGCTGAAAACCTGATTATATAAGTATAAAACCAAATAATATAAATCTGTAAGTAGAAATATATATACAGACATTCCCACAATGAAAACAACCCATTAGAATCAACATGTAGATTTACCAAGATCACTAGATACAAGGTTAATATACAAATATCACCTGTATTTTTTATAAATTAAGAACAAACAATCAGAGAGTAAACTTTAAAACAATATTACATATCATATACAGAGGCATTAAAAATGTCAACATACCAGACAGCTGCCAAAAAAATTAAAATAAAAAAATTAAATATCAAAAATTAAATATCTTGGAATAAATCTAAGGAAAGATTTATAACATATAAGAAAGAATAAAATAGTTTTTTTAAAAAAACCTAAATGAATGAAAGTAAATACCATACCCTGAAAGACTTTCTAAATTGACACAGTTAAAACCTCATCAAATCCGTGGTGTACTCGGGAGAGTGCGGCACTGGGAGCGCGGCAGAGCTCCCGCTGCGGGTTCGGATCCTATATTGGGATGACTGGTGCGCTCACAGCGATCACTGGCTGAGCGCGGTGCAGCCGGTCTCAAAAAGGACAAAAAAAAAAATCTACCAGAAATGAAACCTCATTCTAGAATATATATGGAAATGCAAAATGCATATGGAAATGCATTTTGCACAATAAGACTCATTGTACAAGGTACAGTAAATAAGACACTGGGTTCATGACACAAAGACACATGAAGAAATCAGTGCTTCCACCTTAAGAAAATAGGAAAGAAAGATCAAGTTAAATCAAATGAAAGCAGAATGAAAAATTTAATAAAAATACAATAAGAAACCAAAGAAATAAAATAGAGGTAATCTTATAACACCAAGGTCAGGGTTCAGATACCCATACCAGCAAGCTATAATAATAATTTTAAAAAAGGGTAATCAGTAATCAACAAGGGGGAAAAAATATCAGTAAAACTAAAACCTAATTCTTTGAAAAGTTAATAAAATTGATCAATCTAGTCAGTGTTCAATAAAAAATAAAAAATGAGACAAGCAATATAAGGAAGGAAATGTAATACTCAGATGATATCAATAAATTCATTAAAACATACAAATTGCTAAAACAAACCTAAAAAGAAACAGATCATTTGAATAGCCCAGTATCTATAAGGAAATTGTATGTGACTTCTTGCAAAAAAAATCCTCAAAAATGCCTCCACTTGTAAATTCTATCAATAATTCAAACAAAAAAATTATACCCATCATACACAAACTCTCTCAGAAGATAGAAGAGTCACTTCTCAACTTATTTTATGAGGTGAGTAGCACCTATCCCAAAGCTAAATAAATGCCTCACAAGAAAAGAAATAACAGATACACCTGTACTCATATATCCGTATGTCTCATGAATATACACCCAAAACTCCTTAACAGAATATTAATAAATCAGGGCCAGCAGGTTAGCTCAGTTGGTTAGAAAGTAGTGTTTATAACACCAAGGTCAAGGATTCAGATCCCCATACTAGCAAGCTGCCAAAAAAAAAAAAAAAAAAAAAAGGATAAAATAAAATATTAACAAATCGAATCCAGCAATACAAAACCAAATGTAGTTTATCCCAAGAATGCAAGGTTGGTTTACTACAGAATATCAATTAAAGTAATTCACCACATTAATAGAAAAAAGAGGGAAACCATTATGATTATTAATGCATTAGAAAGATGCAAATACAGCATGAAATAAGGAATAAAAATGCAACACCTTTTCATGATAAAAACACTCAATCTACAACTGGAAGAGAACATCAACCTGATAAAGTGCATCTATAAAAAATACACAGATGTAAGAGTAAACACTTTCCCTGCAAGGTCAGGAACAAAGCAAAGCTGCCTGCTTTTACGACTATTATTCAACACTGTATAGAAGGTCTTAGCTAGTGAAATAAGGACAAATTTAAAAATTTAAAGCATACAGAGAGTAAAGGTCGAAATAAAACAGTCTTTCTTCACAGGTATAGTAACACCACATAGAAAATCTCAAAGAATCTCTAAAAAAGCAACTAGAGGGCTGGCCTGGTGGCGCACTGGAGAGTGCGCCACTTGGGAGCGTGGCGGCGCTCCCACCGAGGGTTCGGATCCCATGTGGAGACCGGTTCCCGCTCACTGGCTGAGTGCAGTGCGGGTGCAACACCGAGGGTTGCGATCCCGTTGCCGGTCCTCGGTATGGGCGTGACACCGAGGGTTGCGATCCCAATACCAGTCAGTAAAAAAGACAAAAAGGAAAAAAAAAAAAAGCAACTAGAACTAGCAGTTCAGCAAGGTTGCAGAATTCAAGGTCTAAACATGCAATCATGTTTTCATACAGAAATAAACAATTTGAAACTGAAAGTTTTATAACAGCATGTAAATATGAAATACTTATGTGCAAGTCTAACAGAATACATGCACAATTTGCATTCTGAAAACTACAAAATGCAGATGAAAGTAATCAAAGACCTAAGGTACCATGTTATCAGATTGGGAGGTATAATATTTTTAAGATGGCAAGTATCTCAAAACTGATCTATGTAGACTTTAAGATGGCGACGGGTCTGGAGCAGCCGTGCCAGGAGACAGCACGACCCTGAGAAGTGTGCGCTGTGATACCAGAGTACTATTTGTATTTCCAAGAGCAACAAAAAACGAATAAATCTTGGAACAACTAACCTACAACGACAAATAAGCAACTACAGGTTCGAGGTTTTAGGGCCATCACAAAAGAAGACTCCTGAGAGTGCCCAAGCCGTGCTGCGGGTTCGAGCGAGCAGCCCGAGACAACAAAGGCCAAGTAAGCCAGCAGAGACGACACAGAAACGGAGTGGAAGGCGCCGGACCGGCCCAACTCTGTGAGCTCTGTGAGTCACCCCCAGTCCAGCCCCACTTGCGGGGCGAAGCCCGACTGGTCCCCGCCCGCCTGGCTCCCGCCTACCACACCAGGCTAGGCGTCCGCAACAGCACTGCCTCCATTTTCTCGGGTGGGGGTGGAGACGGTCGGCTGAGATCAGGCAGGCCAGCCATCTCTGCTTGGCGCGGCTCCTGAGACGTGCCATTTGCTTACCTCGACGCAGGGCACCCCGGGGCCTATGGACCGGCCTACAATCCCACTCTCCCCGCGGATCTCTGACGGGGCTGGTAGCGTGGGGAGCCCCCGGCCAGCGTCGGGAGCGCAGGGAAGAGGAGCCCGCCCAGATCATCTCTCCAGCACACCCTGGGCTTCGGCCCCAGGTAAACTCACTGTTTCCGGGAGGCAGATACCATCTCTGTGGGCCTCAGTTTGGAAGAACCCCTAACTGATTTCTGGTTGGGAGAGGGGAGCCCAGAGCGCTCTGGAGCTACATTGAAGCTGCCGGAGAGCTCTCCCGGAGGGCGCCCGGGTCAACCCGTGCTGGGGGGAGTCAAACAGGAACTGTGTGTTGTGGGACCCTCGCCCGAGGAGCTCACACCCTGCAGTTGAAGAGACTAGACACCTGAAACTCTTCCTGGGCAGGGCAGGGCAGGGCACAGCTTTGATGTCTCCGCTGAAAGACGAGGTTTGCAGAAGACATGCCTCAGCCCTGTTCTGAGCGCACAGAGTGGGGAGGGGTCCGGCAAAAAGAGGCAGAGTCTCGGGAAAAAATAAATAAATAAATAATTACACACACTGCGGGACCCCTTTGCAAGGCTCAACAGCCCCACCTAGTGTACACAGAGTGGGAAAACACCCCGATAGCGAGGTGCAGAACACACATACCTTACGGGACCAGCAGGGCGGTATCCAGCAACATAGTAGAATTCAAACTGACCAGAGAGGAGACTTCCTGCAGAGGTCCAAGACCCGAGTGAAACTCCCTGCCAAAATGAACAAACACCCAAAAAGAGATACCAGAAATGCAAAAAACCAAGAAAATACACCACCAAAAGTCAATAAATCTCAAACTCTAGATCCTATAGAACAAGAAGCCCTTGAAATGAATGACAGGGAATTTCGAGTGTTAATCCTAAAGAGACTGAACGAGATACAAGAAAACACAGATAGACAACATGATGAAACCAGGAAAAACATACAGGTATGACAGGAAATTTCGAGTGATAATCCTAAAGAGACTGAATGAGATACAAGAAAACACAGCTAGACAGCATGATGAAACCAGGAAAAACATACAGGACCTGAAAGAAGAAATATACAAGGAAATCACTGTCATAAAAAAAAAAATGTAGCAGAACTTGCCAAACTGAAGAAGTTATTCAGCGAAATAAAAAACACAATGGAGAGTTTAACCAGCAGGATAACGGAAGTTGAAGACAGAACCTCTGTACTTGAAGATAGACTCTTTGGAATAATACAAGCAGACAAAAAAAAAAGAAAAAAGTATCAAAGATATTGAAGAAAATCGGAGAGAGATATTAGACAACCCTAAGCGCTCAAATATCCGA